ATCTGACCAAGGAAGAAATCGGGGCGTGCGTGTTCCCCGCCTTGTGCAGGCCGCCCCTGGGGCCATGTGCGGGTCCCATCCCATCCCTCCCATTTTGGACCTGTCTCCTGCTCGGCTTTCTTGCTGCTTCTGGTGGGCCTTGTTGCGGCTTCTGGCTCAGCGACTAAAAGGGGCCGTGCTCACCACCCGGAGGAAAGCCATTGGAGAGCAGCCGAGCGCAGCAGGAGAGAGTCTCCAGAAGAATGGAAAAGGGGAGGAGGAAAAAAAACCAGAGGCTGACCGAGGAGGAGGAAAAGGGAGGCGATTTGGATTTGGAGAGACCAGGCAGAACATGTTCCGGTCAATCCTATCACAGCTTGCACGGAACCATTAAATGCCCAGGGGTGTGAGATACACACATAGACACCCACAGGGTATCGGTTGGTAAGAGAAGGGGCCCCAAATAGCTGAAACCGTCATTTCCATGTGCCTTCAAATGTATAGGTCAGTGCATTTGGGCTGTAACCCCCAGAATTATCCATCCACCCCTCTAGTCCTTACTTCTTATACCAGGAAAGGGGCCTTTATCCTGCTTCTTGGATTGCTTTCAGGGTGTTAGCTTACCCCAGTCCTTTTAACTAATAAAAGTAACTCATGACAGGTAACATTGTAACTCCTTGCTTCCTAGCTCAGATTCGTAAGCGCTGAGGTTTGCGAGCTGTTTTAAAGGAGTTATGGGGCTGATGCCTCAGGGCCGAGGTTTCATGGTTAGAGCTGTCCAGGAATACAGATGTAATGTTGATGCTGATTTAATGGGCTCTGTCCTCTGATGGAATTCATGCTAGGAATTTCCTGGTGGTGTCGGAAAGCCAGAATGAAACAAGTGGAGACCCGTGGCATTGATGTGGAGTGTAAATTTTTAAAATGCCCTGGCTGTAATTTTCAAAAGGCTGCATGATGGAGTCCCTTTAAAAAAGCGAGTCCAGGAACTTGGCATAAGTCGGTGCCGTGAAGGCACCTTTTGCTTATTTAAAGTCCGGAGCGTACACGTTTTACTAGACCGAGGCTGCTGTGTTGCTCGATCTGAGCCTCTAGACAGCTGAGGTTCAGCTGGGTTATCTTACCTTGTAAATAAACGGCACGAGATTGTAGAGGGGACGAACTCTTGTGAAACGCTGTCTTTTGATCCAGCTGGCTCAGACTTTGGACAGCTGGATTCAGTTGCCGGGCGACTTCCTCTGGAAGCTTTGGTGGAGATGAAACCAACCTGGAGGAGGAGGAGGAGGAGAGAGTCTGGGGGGGGGGCACCTGAAAGTGAAAAGAGGATCTCTGGAAGCTTTGGTGGAGATGAAACCAAACTGGAGGAGGAGGAGGAGGAGGAGCAGGGGAGAGTCTGCGGGGGTGGCACCTGAAAGTGAAAAGAGGATCTCTTCCAGAAATGGTTCGGTTCTATCAGTTTTTTGTCTGTCCGCCTGGCTATGTTGATAAGAAATTGGCCGACCGTCTGTCCTCTGAAAAGAGGATCTCTTCCAGAAATGGTTCAGTTCTATCAGTTTTTTTGTCTGTCTATCCGCCTGGCTATATTGATAAAAAATTGGCCGACCGTCTGTCCTCTGGTCCTGCTGATCTTTGCAGGGCGGTATGTGTCCTTTTTTTCAGGATGATGTGGTATTGGTACTGGCCGATGCAGCAGCCCAGTTGGTGGGCTTGTGGCTGTTGAATAGAATAGCCATTCTGGAAACAGGCATTGGGCCAACATGGGGTGAAAAGGCTTCTTGGGGGAAGGAAGCCCACTTTTGGATAGTAAAGGAGGAAAGGATCACTAAGCTTATCTGCAAAGGTTCCTCAAGCTGGCTCCCATGCGTGCAGCTAACCTTTTTTTAGTATGTTTTTTTTGCTTGACCATTTTAAATATTTGTATACTCACTGTTGTTAGCTTTGCTATTGCCTTTCAATGATGTAAGCTGCCTTGGTTCCTTTTAAGGAGGAAGGTGGGACAAACATATTTTAAATAACAAATAAATGAAAAGAAGCAAGCGGTGACCTTAGAGGAAGGAGGAAGGAAGTGGGCCTAAGATTGCCTGTCTACATGAAGATCTAGAACAGCGATTCCCAATCTTGGGCAACTCGGGTGTTCTTAGACTGCAACTCCCAGAAAGCCTGGCCGCTTTTAAATATTGTCTTTTAATGATGTAAGCTGCCTTGGTTCCTTTTAAGGAGGGAGGTGGGACAAACGTATTTTGAAGAAAACAAGATAAACAGTGTTTGCTGTCTTTTTTTTTTTTAAGAGGAAGGAGGAAGGAAGTGGGCCTAAGATTGCCTGTCTACATGAAGATCTAGAACAGCGATTCCCAATCTTGGGCAACTCGGGTGTTCTTAGACTGCAACTCCCAGAAAGCCTGGCCGGCACAGCTAGTGGTCAAGACTTCTGGGAGTTGCAGTTCAGGAACCTCCAGGTTACCGAAGGTTGGGAACCACTGTTCTAGAAGAAAACAAGATAAACAGAGTTGGCTGTCCTTTTTTACTGTCCCTCCTCACCCATCCCTCTCATTGGGTTCATTGAAGGCTTCAGTGATGTTTTATGTTTGTTTTTTATTTGGCAAAAATAATATTAGTGTTGGGGAAAAAAGAAAATGAAAAAGAAGGAAGTAGGGGCAGAAATAAAATAATACAGAGTCTCTGCATTAATTCCATGCAGAGGGATTGTCAGATATCCGGCCCGGTGTCCAAATGAAGTCGGTGTCTGTAGGCCTTCCGTCAAGATGTTGAAAATCTTGTTGGCAAATCCCTGGAAGGGTGGTAGAGTTTCATTTCTCATGACATACAGTTTGGGAATTGTTGCCCTCACCCAAGACATGTGTGTGAAGACATAGATTTGAAGGGGACCTCCCCCCCCCGGCATGCTGTCCAGAGTAGAGTCCCTTCCTTATGAGGGCTGTGCACATTCTGGGGCCACAATTTGAGCTTTGAAATTGAACCTGTCTCTCTCTGCACAATGGCGGTGGACATGGGGAGTTCGGTTGATGACAGTTTTCTCTCGCGCTGGGCAGGCCTTTCAAGTTTGGGAGCGGAGCCCAGCATGCCCGGGCAGCTCCCGCCAAGATTACAGCTTTTCGGTCTGAGAGCAGATGAGCCAGGATCAAGGAGAAGCCGCTGGTGGGTTTGCTCCACCAGGACACAAATGGATGCTTTATTCTTCCTCTTTGCCCTGTACCTTTTGGCACAGAGGAGACCCCTGTGTTCTGGGGAAGGAGGGCTGGGCAGGCAGGAGGTTTTGGCAGGGAGACCTCGGCTTTTGCAAGGGGCAGGCGGAGGACTGGACTTCCTGCAGGCTTGGCGCGTCCAGGGCCCAGAAGCTGGGGGAGGCACCCTTGCTTTGTCAAGGGTTGAAAGCCTTTTTTTCATGCCGCGTGTTGAGTGAGGTGGAGCTGAACTGAACCATCGCAGCTGCGGCAACAAAAACTGCCAGTTGTCTTCTGCGCTCCCTGCCATCGGTGGTTCGCGAGGGGCATTCACAGAGCACAATAACCGTCTTTTTTTTTTTCAAATTTCCAAAGCACCTGTTCCCCAACTGTGTGTATATGTGAGCGTGTGTACATACAAGCCGTCCTGTTCAAAAGAAGGGGCCTTTGTCAGGATCTGGTGATTTGGGCAGATATGTGCGAGAAGCCATGTCCGATGCAGACACAACCAGTGCCCGCCCACACCTGCAGCAGCACCGAGTGTCCCCCCCCCCCGGGCTCCTGTCGGACAACAAGCTTGGAAGAGGAGGCCTGATCCTGTGTCCCAACCTATAACCCCTGCCTCCTGTCCTCCTAACTCCCAGTGCTGATGGTGGATGCCTGCCATTTCCCCTTGTGGGGGGTCCCTGATGCCTTAGAAGGATTACTTCACATGCATCATATATTTCACAGGGCTTGGAAGAATCTGGTTCCCCCCCCTCCCCCCGGGCTCCAGCTCCCAAAATGTTGCAGTCCAGATATTTCTGTCTGGCTCTGCTGATGGACAAGAACCACAGCTGCCGCCTGGGTCTGTCTCAGCAGATTGATTGGATGATAATAATCTGTCCCCGATGCTTCACTGAATCAGACAGACCCTTGGTGTCTCCGAGCCAATATTCCCAGCTCTGACTGGCAGCATCCGTTATTTCAGGCAAGATGCCTTCCTGGATTGAGCTGGCAATCTTGGCATAGTCTCTCACCCAACCACGAGGCAGACCTGACTCTGTGCAGCTGCTGAGATCAGATGAGATCCTTCAGGTGGTGTTTGGAGGACCTTAAGCGTCTTAAGGTGGGACATCTCGTCGCGCGTCTGCTCTTCCAGAGCTTGTTCTTCTGGGTGCGTGCCCCAATGGGATAACAGTTGGCCCCAACTTTAAGACTTCCTTCTCCTGAAAAACAAATGTGTGTGTTTATTCATTCATTGCCTGGCTGCTCGTCTCCTTCATTTCTTGGATTTGTACTTAGAAGAAGGCATCAGTGCAGAAGGATGATGAGAAACACCCCCCCCCATTCAAAAACCAGGAATCTGTAAATGAATGTGCAGGGTAGAGGGAAGCTCTTTCCCCTCTCACACAATACTAGAATCAGGGGATATCCACTCCAACTGAGTGTTGGGAGAGTGAAAACAGACCAAAGAAAATATTTATTGACCCAGCATGATGTTAGTCTGTGGAACTCCTTGCCCCAGGATGCGGTGATGGCCTGTGCCATTTAGGTGCCTTTAAAGGGGGACTGGACAGATTCCTGGAGGAAAAGTCCCATCGCAGGTGACAAAGCCATGATGGGGAGGTACCATCTCCATGCTTTGAAGGAAGGGACGCCCAACGGCCAGATGCAAGGGAAGAGGGGGCTCAGGGGATAGGGTCTCTCCTGGCCTTGTTTGCTCCCAGAGGCATCTGGTGTGAGATCCAGGGAGCTGGACTAGATGGGTCCTTGGCCTGATCCATCCGGGCTCTTCTTCTTATGTTCTTACGTTGTACGTTGGCTGGAGATGACCTGTCCTGAATCTCTGTCCCACAGGTGAAGATGAAACAGGAGAAGCATGCCCGCTGGGAGACGGACAGGGAAGAAAAACTGGTTTTAGTCAATGGGAGCTGCAGTGATTTGGCCGAGGATAAACCCAGCCCCAACTTGGATGCCAAAGGGAAACGGAAGAAAGCAGGTAAACTTTCTCTCTCTCTCTGTGTGTGTATGTGTGTGTGTTTGTGTATGTGAGAGAGCGAGAGTGAGAAAGGGAGCATGACACAGCGGGCAAAGTAAGATGAACCTACTGTTCTTGTACCGCTCAACCTCCCCCACCCCCCCACCCTGTTTAGGTTTCCCCCAAGCTTGGCCTCCTCACCTTCCGGGACATGCAGTGTGTTTCCCCCTTAAGATGTGTGCCGTGAAGGGTGAGGCCGGGTTCTGCCATGGCTGTGGTGTTCGGAGGCGAGATGTGAAGACGAGGAGAGTTGCATCATTCCTCTTTTGCCGTACGAAGCTTCCTAAAGGAGCCCTGAGATTTCCGGTCTCCTGGGGTCTCTCGGGAGCCCCATGACCCCTCCGTGCGGGGAGATGAAGGATGGGCAGCTGTCCTGAACTGGAGTTAAGCCATGGATTGATTGCCACGTTGCTGCTTTTCCCCACCCACAAAATGTTCACCTGCCTGTGGCCTGGGAGGTGGACCCTGGAGTCTCTGGCGTGGTTTTGCGCCTCCCATGGGCAGCCGAAAGAGGGCAGGGACCCAGTGGTAGAACTGTACAAAGGTTAAAGCAGAACCTCGGAGTCCAATAGGAATAAGCCCCTCAAGATGCATGCCAGGTAAATGCACCCAGCTCAGGGGCTGAGCACCCACTGAGTGTAGACAAGGGCCCTAGATCAGCCGTTCTCAACCTTTTTTTTGGGGGGGGTGGCCCTCTTAGGAGCTGTTCTCAGGTGCCAGGGTCAAACAAGGGAAGCCTTCGGCTGTTTGCAAAACAAGGATACAACACAAACGATGAATCGGTGACCCCCTTCAACCCCCCAGGGATGGGAAGGCTTGGGAGGAAAACCGAAAAAATGGGAAAGAAATGGGTCCCCCCCCCCAAAAAAAGCCATCTAATGTGGCTTCAAAATTTCCAGAAATGTTGCATCTCTAGCCAGCCCCTGCCCCTGCAGAGCCGTATTGACAGTGGCGGCCCTAGATCCATCCCTGCTTAAGGACAGGAAAGGCTCCATCTTCCCAAGCTAAAACAGCTGCCGGCCAGTGTCAACCATCCTGGGCTGGATAGACCCCGGTGCTCTGGGTCCGTGCCCTCCACCAGGCTCCTGCATGCCCGCGAAGGAGACGTTTCCCAAATGGATTTCTGGACGAAGGTGGGTAAAGCCAGCAAGCACATCTTGCTATTGACTCTTGATTGATTCCGGGCCATATTCGCCTTTCTGCAGATGTTCAAGAGTCAGAAAACCCAGCTCCGAAGGCAAAGGAGAAGAACAAGACAGAGGAAACCCTAAAAGAGGGCCAGGAGGTACGTTCTTCCACATCCTAAAACCCGTGCAGGGACAACGTGTTCTTTCTGTAGGTTAGTTTTGCTCTTCCACCGGGGCAAAATGGTATCCCAAGACTGGAAGTGTCCAGCATTTTTGGACAACGTTCCCCAGAATTCCCCCGTCCGTACGGCCAGGCTGCCATCGTTCTGGAAAGAGTCGTGCAGAAAAGCAACTTTCCCCGTTCCTGAAAGGGCCAGGTGTATAGCACGGATTCTGGTGTGTCTGAAGGATCTCAGATGTCCTTGGGTAGGGTTGCCAGATACATGGGTACTAAAGGGAGGACATAGAAAGACAAAAAGGAGAACAAAGGAGGACATATTGAATGTTTCATTTGAATCATTCCAGATTAAACCCACAATCAATACAATTTTATTACAATAGCTGCCAATAAATGTCTCTTAGTGAACCGACCAAGAAATAGTCATGTTAAAAATTAAAAATAAATTCAATGGAGGCTTTTAAAGAGCCTCGTGGCGCAGTGGTTAAAACGCTGTACTGCAGCTAAAACTGTGCTCACGACCTGGGGTTCAAATCCCAGGTAGCCGGCTCAAGGTTGACTCAGCCTTCCATCCTTCCGAGGTCGATAAAATGAGTAC